CCCGACATCCAGCCGCCTGAAAAACATTCCCGAACCCCCCCTCTAAGACCGCATACGGACGACCGGAAGTCCGTACGTACGGCCCGTACGGGGGTGCAGGGCCCGTACGTACGGGAGTACAGGAGTACATACGGGCCATGCCTGTACGAGGTGACGATACTGTTCAACAACGTTCTTCCAAATTTCACTCGTGAATCGGACGTCTCTATCACTGACAATGGTCTTAGGTAGTCCAAAATCACGCACCCAATTATCCATAAATAACTTCATGACGAGTTCAGTCCTTACGGATTCTAGCGTGGCAATTAGTCTAGTGTACTTAGTGAAGCTGTAGTCTATGACGAAGATATGCCGCTTGTCACTTTTGTTGGTCACGAGAGTATACGTGAAGTCCATGGAGACACTATGTCCCAAGCCTATTGGAATAAGCAATAACTTTAGGTGTTTGACTTCCCGACTTATCCCGATGACAGAGTTGACGAGTCTGAACGTACTTCTTCGCATCGTCAAACATACTAGGCCATCAAAAAAGTTGCACTAGGTTAGCACTAGTCTACTTATAACGGGAGTGGCACGTCACGTATTGACACTCACCTAAAAATAAACTACGCAAAATCATACTAGACGACACACATAATTTTTTTAAACCGTGCCTTTTCAAGGAAGAGTAATTTATCCACCATTACAAACTCGTTAGATGTAGCTTTGTCCTTAGCATCTAGTTTGCGAATAATGTCCATCATAAAAGGAACTTCCTTATAGGCATCCAGCAACGATCGAGTTATTTCTTCATATACTAAGCCAAAATCAGTAATCACCGCACCTAGGTAGTCTACCGTATGTGACAACGCATCAACAACCTTTTTGTATTCCCCCTTCATGTAGTCTAGCTTGAAGTCATATTGGTCAACGACTTCAATCCAGCGTTTGAGCGTGTCGAAGTTGTGTCTTGATCCATGTGAGTGTCTGATGGCCGGTCCTCAAACTATGTATCACCCGCGGTCATGACCTCGGAGCTTATAATTGTATGCAGTCGGGATCATTACCGTAAGGGCTGACTGCATGTTCTCGAGTGCGGCCGCAAACCCCCGGTACTTTTAACTCCTAGGAAAATAAACCGAAAAAAAAAGGGTTGTAGGATTTGAGAATCCCTACATCCCCATATTTTTTATTTCTGATTTCGACATTTTTTTTTTTTTAAGAAAATAAAAAAAAACAAATATTAAAATAAAAAAATATATATATATTTTAAATAACTTCTTTTTTCATTCTTTCTGATTGTTGGTGGGATAAACATGGTGCACACATATTGATTGATTGATTGATTGATTGATTGATTGATTGATTGATTGATTGATTGATTGATTAATTGATTGATGGATCGATGGATTGATAGATTAATGGATTGATTGGATTGATTGGATGATTGGTTGATTGATTGATTGATTGATTGGTTGGTTGATTGGTTGATTAATTGATTGATAAAAAAAAAAAAAAAAAGAGTTTGTATTTGTGTGTGTGTATGTGTGTGTGTGTGTGCCGGGGGGAGGGGAGGGGGGAACTTTTCCCCACCAATCATTGCAATCAATCAATCAATCAATCAATCAATCAATCAATCAATCAATCAATTAATAAATCGGTCAATCAATCAATCAATCAATCGATATTTACCTTCTATTTTTATTTTTTGCAGATACCAAATACCACCCCCGCAAAAAAAAAAAAAAAAAAACCTTTTTTTATCGAGGGGGTAGGGTCGTGGTTTCGGAACCCTTCTGGCCACGTAGCCGCGAAAATGGTCGTGGCCGCAGTCGTAACTTTAGGCCTCGGTCGTGACTGTGGTTACCACACCCATGGGGGATTCTTCGTCCTCAAATAGAAGAACCTACCAAGAAGATAATGCCCCTCTAGTAGATAAGGGTTTTGTAAACAACGTAGAGTTTCCTTTTGATAGGTGGACTTTGCCAACTTCTTGGATGGCATCTTCTTACTCATGCACTCGACCAGCATCAAGTTATTCCCTTCTTGCTAGGCTAGCAATGCACCAATACCGTAATGGCTTACGCCAGTGGTCATAACGAATGGTTTTTCAACATCAGGAAGCATGAGAATCTCGTAATGCATGAGAGCATACTTCAATCGTTTGAAGGATGTCTCACACTCGTTTGTTCATTCCCATGGTGTGTCGAGGCCTTGTCGAGTGCATCGGTCTTGCGCAGTGGGGGACCCTCCCGGCCACGTCACGCATGAGTTGGTCCGATCCTCATCGCGATACACATGGAGCTTCAACAAACCGCTTCGGCCGAGTTCTCAAGCCATAGCTCTCGCGAGCCCCCACAATAGGATAGGGTCAACAGGAGGTACAACTTACCTCCACCTTACGGGAGTTGCCACCTCCCTTCTGTGGGCGTATCCCCGCTGAGCTACCGGTTCACAATACGAAAGCTAATCAGTTGCAATTGTAGAGGTGGACCAACCGAGGGTGTTTCTCGTTCGCTGTAGCACAGGGGGTACGCGAGGTTTTACGCCTCTATCGGACCCGCATGTGGACAGATGCACTGGGGGCTGAAGTCCCAAGCGCGATGTCGGTGCGAATACCCTTACAAGGGTATCCGCCCTGGTTTTTGCGAGTAACAGAAATTAATTTGGCTTAAAATTTAAGTATACCACGCTAGGCGTGACCGTGTCTGTAATTTACGTTGACAGGATGGTTGACCACAATGGCGAGTGCGTGGGCGCGCAGTTTTAAGGCGCGCGTGATTCTTTTCTATTGTTGATCGCAAAGCCGGCCCAGACCGCGTTTGTTTTGCTTGGTGATATTATCATTATTTATTTATTTTTGATTAAGCAGGAATTAAGGATATTTTCGTTTGATTGGTACATATTGACCGAGTCGAGCGCGCGTGCGGAGAAACGACCCCGACGACGGCATCGGCAATAACGGCGCGATTTTCGTGCGGTGAGAAGGATGTAGTAGGATGGCGCGCGCGCCGATTATGGCATGGTATAAGCAAGC